AAAGGAACATATATTATTTATATATGTTCGAAAAATAGCCAGTGATTTCCCAATCCCTTTTTTTCCTCGGCACAGATCACACTCACGCCGTGCTGCACGAACCCACCCTCTCGTTTGAGAGCTATTTGCATTCCCACTTCCTACAAGCGCCGGGAAATGAGGAAAAGGAGAAGCACAGAAATGAGGGGAACTCCCGGAGCAGGGGCAGGGCAAGGGAAGGAGCGGGGCAGACACGGGAGGTGCCCGCTGCCCTTCGGCCTCCGCACCGGGCACCGGGGCACGGCCGCGCTCCTGCCCACAGCTGCCGGGGGAGAATTTCTAATTTTTTTGAGGGTGTAAATAACGCGGAAAGCGACATGAGACGCAGAAACACCCCACGAAGGGCGCCCACAGCGCTCAGCCCGGCCTGAGGCACCTCAGCCCCGCTCACCTTCCCCGCTCGCCCTTCCCGGGGCCACCGCGCTCCCTGCTGCGGGGACCCGCCGGGGGACCGCCAGCGGATTTACCTCAGCAGCGGCAGCAGCGGCGGCGGCGGCGGTGGCGGCGCGGCTGCCCTGGCGCGGTGGGGCGCTGGGGCCGGGCCCCGGCCGCTGGAGCTCCGCGCCCGCCGCCACCGCGCCCGCGGCTCCCGAGGCTCCCCAGGAGCCGCAGGATCCCGGAAGCGGCGGGGGCGGCGCTTCCGCGGGAGGCGGAAGGGACGCGCGCGCGGCTCCGCGCAGGCGCGGCGGGCGGGGCGCCCTTGGCGCGGCCCTGAGGGCAGGGCTGGGAATGGGGGTGGAACTGGGTACCCCCGCAGCGCCCTCATGGAGCGGGCACGGAGGGCAGGACATGGGCACAGGCACTGGCACACCCGCAGCGCTCTCATGGAGCAGGCACGGAGGGCAGAGATCCTCCCATCCCGTCCTACCCCTGCCCCCGCAGGGACACCCGCAGCGCCCTCATGGAGCGGGCGCGAAGGGCAGGGCTGGGGCTGGGCTCACCTGCAGCGCCCTCATGGAGCGGGCACGGAGGGCAGCCCAGGGTTAGGCACACCCGCAACGACCTCATGGAGCGGGCTCGGAGGGTGGCGATCCTGCCGTCCCTTCCCACCCCGGCCACCGGCAGGGACACCGCCCGCTGTCCCTGGTTGCGCCGTGGTCCGACCCGGCGTGGGCAATTCCAGGGATGGGGCAGCCGCAGCTAAGCTGGGCGGTCTGTGCCAGGGTGTCCCCGCCCTCACGTGGGAGAATTTCCTCCTAATTCTAATCCAAACGTACTCTGTCAGTTTGAGGCCATTCCCTCTGGTCCTGTCACTCCAGGCTCTTATAAACAGTCCCAATTCCATCTTTCATGTGGGCTCCCTTCAGGTGCTGCCATGAGGTCACCTTGAAGTTTCACTTTTCCAGGTGAAGAATTCCAGCTCTGCCAGTCTTTCCTCCAGCAGAGCTGCTCCATCCTCTGATCAGCCTGGAGCCTCCTCTGGGCTCTCTGCAGCAGCTCCAGGTCCCTGATGTCCCCAGGTGGGGACATCACCCTGCCCCTGCAAGAACCGGGCACAGAGGCAGTGGGTACTCAGTTCTTTCATGAAGAATTTGTGCTTTATGTCAACACGTATTTTTGTGGTCAAATTCCATTACAGTCCCTCATTAATTTGTACTCATCCCTGGCAGTGCCCAAGGCCAGGCTGGATGGGGCTTGGAGCAGCCTGGGACAGTGGGAGCTGTCCCTGCCCATGGCAGGGGGAGGAATGGGATGAGCTTTGAGGTCCCTTCCCACCCAAACCATCTGTGATTCTATGATTTCACTTCTGAGAACATCAGGAATGTGATTTGGCACCTGATTCAAGAGCATGTTCAGCAGTTGTTCACTGTGCTTAAACATCAATAGTTAAATTGTTTGATACGGAAGTATTATATGACACTCATTCAGGATTTCCCACTGTGTATTAATACAGACCCAGTGGCTCAAAAAGTACAGGCAAAACCCTTGCAGTGTGTGAGCTGAGGATATTTTTAAAACAAAAATGGTGAAGGATGACAAACAGAAACGATGACAACTCGGGCACGGTCCTGCATCCTTTTTTTCTTGTAGCATGACCACCATCTAGTGGGACACGGGCAGCCAGTGCACAAGGGTGCTGTGTGCTGATAAGTGAGTAAAATACAGCTGCTCACGTGCCTGTTTGTCTCCTCTTCTGTGCTGAAATATTGGGGGCTTCTGTAAAGCTTGATTTTGCATATTTCTTCTATTTCCCAACAGCTGGTTGCACATACGAAAGGAAATTTGTCTATGCCAATGTCTCTGCTCTTCAAGTGTAATTATGTAAATATTTATAGACACAAAATCATAAGAGCTGATCGTTTTCTAAATCTGCCTTCTCCCTTGGTGTTTTCCTTAATGTAACTAATGTTATTTATGTAGGAATAAAAATGAAAACAAATAATATTCTCTTTTTTTTATTCCATTACAGTGAGTTTAACCCTTGAGAAAACTACCATTCATGTGCTTTTTATCTCAGGCTGGCTGAGGTACCAGAATTATCCAGGAGTTACAAAAAAGCTAGGTAGTGTGACATCTTTTTTCAGCAATATTGCAGATGCTTAAGACCTTATACAGAAGTTTAAATTTATGCTAACCAGAAATTCTTAAATGCAGCTTTTTTTTTCTTTGTGTTTTAGCACCACACATCGGTCACAGATTCCTGATTTCCTCCTGATCTTAAAAACAATCAGTTGAGTCTTTTCCTCCCCATATTTTAGCTGAACATGTGGAGCAACTCTTAGACTTGTTTCAATACACGGAGAGCTGGTGTTACACTAAAAACATCCCCAGGACTTTGGTTCTTCTGCAAGTCCTGATGGTTTGGAACCCATTCCCACCACAATTACATAATATTGCCAAGATAAATTGTTTGCCAGAGATAACTTCAAGCCCTCAAACAAATTACCTAAGAAATGTGGAAACAGGAGGTGGCACGAAACAAATTGTTTCCATGTCCTGTGCTGAGAGGAAGGAAGGAGCTTATCTCTGGTACAGATTCACACAATGCCTTCACCGTGGCCTGGGGAGAATCAGGGGGAGGCTGGGAATGCTTCACACATCAGGCATGAAATATTCACATTGCTCCTCCCCTCAGACATGCAAATATTGAAATTCAAATGGTTTGTGTAAGGATTCCAGCAAAGCTGCTCATGGATTGCATTGGGGAAAAACAAGAGTTTAGAAGAATCTGTCATTTATTGTAGCCCCTTCCACCTCAGGCAGAGGAGGGTTTAATTCTGTGCATGTTTGTAAAGTCCCAAAGGTTTGTCATTTGTGTGGATCTTTCCCCACTGATTACAGCTCTGTGTCAATAATGTGTTCAGATTCTAGCAAAGAAGAAAAGCTGTTTTTCATAATCCATACCCTTTGCAGCCTTTCTGTGGGCTGAGCCACATCTGCCGTGCTGCAGGTGCAGGATGATAACATTGTGACACATCTCTTTCTTTCAGGCTGTTCTCAATCCCTCCACAGCACAACCTGAAATATAAAAACAACCTTATTATTATTATCCCTCTGACTCTCTGGAAAACAACCTTATTGGCTCTCTGCCTGCTCTAGGTGCTTAACTTTAGGATGTGCCCCTTCAATATTGGCTGAAGCAATGGTGATTTACAGAAATTAATTTCTGAACCTCATTGTCTGAATCTCTGGTGCCTTCTGCCCTTCTCCTTTTAATTTATTTGCTGTGGCCCATGGACAGCTATAAATCACCAGAGAACAGCTGTGCCTGGTCTCAGAAAAGGGGAGCTGTGTAAAACCGAGGAACCTTTTTAAGAAGGTAAAAGGAACATCCAAAGTGCTAAAAGGTTTTGAGGGAACAACAGAAACATGACCACTGAGGCAGTGTAAGTGCACATCAGTATCAGGACAAACTGGGAAAAGGGCAAAAAGGAGCAGCAGAGCTCAGGAGGTCATTAAAAACAAGAAGAAAATTGAAAGAACAATAAGCACTGATCCATTAAACACAAACCAGGGCAGAGGTGGTCATAAAACCAAACTGAGGCACAGCTGAAACAAGGCAGAATAATGCACAATAAATGTTTTTGCAAGTAAAGGGGAATCTGCTGAGAAGTTTGGAGAGCTAACAGGGAGTCCAAACACCCAGGAGACAAAGAAAGCCCCAGTTCTGAGAGCCTCAGCTTTCTCCAAAGTGAGATTGGCTGCACTTCAGCCTCTCCTGAGAGGCTGGGTTTGTTTCAGTGCAGGAAAATGAGACTAAATGCTAACTGTAGAAGGAATAAAAAAGATCTCTTGCACAGCCAGCCAAAAGCCTTCAAAAATATGACTTCTAGAAATGGTACCTACAATGGTACCTGAGGAGATGCTGAGCTGCCTGCTGTGGGTGGGGTTTTTTGGTCCTTGAGTGAAATGGGTTGCTGCCTGTTGGCTGGAGCAGGCAGTGGGAGCAAGAGAAGGACTGGCAAGAGCCCAGTAAAACAAGATCAGAAACCATAGAATTATAGCATCATAGAATAGTTTGATTTGGAAGGATCCTTTTGCAGGTCATCCAGTACATCTCCCCTCTGCCATTGACATCCTTAACTAGACCAGGTTGCTCAAAGCTGCATCCAAATGTTTCCAGGGATGGGGCATCCACCACCTCAGTGTCAGTGTTTCACCACCCTCCTTATCAAACTCTTATTTCATATCTCTAATCTTAAACGGACTGTCCTTCAGCGATCTGCAGCAAAGAGTTGGGGAATAGAGCCTCACACCCGCTTTTCCTGCCGCGCATCACTAGAGGCTTTGCTCTAGTGTCCTTCCAGGAGAACTGCCTGAACTTCCCTTGGAGTGCGCAGTAACTAAACCCAGCAAATCCAACTTCCCCGCTGCGGAAATGACCGCGATCCGAGCCGGGACGGGGAGCGGCCCCGAGGCGGGGTTTGGGGGCGGCCGGAGCCAGCCCCGCACCGCGTCCCGCACCGCGTCCCGCACCGGGTTCCGCTCCCCGGTCCGCTCTCCCCGGTCCGCTCCCCGCGATGCCGGCGCTGCCGGCGCTACTGGCGCTGGTGGCCGCGGCGCTGCTGGCGCTGCTCGGGGCCGGACGAGCGGCCGCCCCCGGCTCCTGGGCTCCGCTGAAGCGCTGGGCCCTGGGCTGCCTCCTGCTCTGCCTCGGCGCCTGCCGGCAGCGAGCGGCCGCGGGCACCGCCGAGCCCCGCCGGCCGCGCCCGCTCCGCGCCGACCCCCACGTGAGTGAGCCGGGACCCCCGGTGCTGGGACCCCTTCCCTGGGACCCCCTTCCCCCGCATTCCTGGGACCCCCTTCCCTGGGACCCCCTTCCCTAGGGCTCGCTTCTGCGACAACTTATTCTCACAGCCTGGCATCCCTGTGTCCCACATCCCCGGCACTCCCATCTCCCTGTTCCCCTGGCACTCCATCTCCTGCATCCCTACGTTTCCCCAGTCTTGGAACTGCCATCCCCAGCCTTTCCATGTTCTCTCAGTCTTGGAACTGACATCCCTGGCATCCCCACGTTCCCTCAGAACACCTTTTCCCCTTTGGACTTCCCTGGCCCTACACCACCTCTACCCTACTGCATCCTCTGCATTCCAGCCCTTGCATCCCCCTGGCAATCCCTCAGGTGCTCCCGTTCCCTGCATCCCGGTGCCTGGCACCCCTCAGTGCCCAACCCCATTTTTTTGAGCTCTCTTTTCTTTTGGCTAAGCTTTCACTGCTGCTTTTAAAGCTGCCTGTTTGTTCTCGGGGTGCCTGCTATGAAATGCAAAAAGTGAAAGCAAAATTTGATCCCTGAGCAGAAGCCTATGGAAACCAAAGGATTGCTGACATTCTCCCCTCCCTTTCCTGCCCCCAGCTGGAGCTGAAATGCATTTCCCTTTCCCCAGGCTCTGGATTCCCTGTACTTCACCGGCTTTGCAGAGACCAACAGGAGCTTTGTGATCGCTCGCCTCGCCCGCCGTCCCGCTGGTCTCTGTGAGATGTGGCTCTTCCTCAGGCTGGATGGGATAGGCGAGTTTGAAGTGAGTGCTGGATGTGGGGTGATGTTCAGGAGCAGTGTTTAACTCCTTTCTTGAACCTCTGATGGAATCCCAAGCCAAAAAATTATGTTCTCTGCATCTTCACACCAGTAAGGCACCAGGGCTGTGTCCAAAGGCAGTGGTGGAACTGGTCAGACAATAAATCAGAACTGATCAGAGAAATGGGTATGTCCCTTTTCTGTAGCATCTGACACTCATTCCTCCTTCCCATAATCTGCACAAAACACAACAGTTTCTAAGTGCCTTATTAAATCCCCCAGGAGGAATTTGAGCATCCAGCCTTTCCAATCAGGTGCAGCACATGGTTGATGAGTTCCATTTTCTGCTGATGGTTGGTTTTCCCCCCTTTTTAATTTTCATGCTATAAAAACCATTTGGAATTGCCTCTTTAAAACAGAGGGAAAAGCTTTTAGGGAGTTTTATTCACATCTGCTTCATTCTTGCTGAAAAGAAAGCTTAATCAGATATCATTAATCAGATTTTTGCCTGAGGATTTTCTTTTTTTATTAAGAGCTGGCTACATAGTAAAGGAGAGAAGACCTGACATAAATCCCTTCGCACTCAACTCTCTTTATATTCACAAATCTCTTTCACTAAGTAGCCATGACCAGGAAAAGCAGGAAAAATCCTATTTGGAGAATATAGGAATAAAAAAAAAAAGAGAAAGATTGATGTGCATTATTTTGGGGTTTTAGTCATATTTAGTATAACAAGACTGCTTTGTGGCATCCTCACAATTGAATTAGGCAAATGTTTTCCTACAATATTTCCTTTTTTTAGCACCCACAGCACCCAAACATGATGGTGAGAGATGAATCCAAAGAGATCTGGAGTGGAGGAGGACTCACTATGGAATACTTGGAGTCCCAAATGTGCTGGAAGATAAATTTTGATGGATTACTCAGGTACTGCAGCACTCCCTAATTTCATTTATCTACACATAAACCCAAGACTTTTTCAGCACTATCTGGAAATATATTTCATTTATTTTAAATTTAACCAGCATGAACCAAAAGCTGTTTGGTAACTGAGACACTTTGGTTTTTAAGGAATGAAAATAAGTCTGGTGGTATAGAGTATTATGAATTCTTCTGTTCCAATTCCAAACATGCAAGAAACATTTTGTTGTTTGTTTAGGATATAAACAAAATTATAATATAATATAAAATTATAGTGATATAAAATGATAGTGCTTTGCCTTGCAGGAAAGGATCCTACAGACAGCAGTGGAGTGAGGAGGAAGGAGAACTTGTACCAGTTAAATTCTCTTTGCAGTAAGTTTTTCATCTTTGCTTTGGGATGTACAGTAAGCTCATAGCTCATTTAAAATGCCAAAAATCAGAATTTTCCAATAAAACACAAAGATTGCCTCTGTCAAAGTAGCAAGTGCACAACTTGGCCTTGCATGAGCTGAATGCTAATAATGTCTTTTTTTTCCCCTCTCTCTTTTTCTAGGTGGGAGAATTCCACAGATGTTTTTAACTTTAATGTTGACAGTAGCCCCAGCACGTTTGCTCGTGCTTTAGCCCAGGAGCCCTGGACCATCGAGCTCTTCCAGAGGGTCAAAAAGTGAGGGGCAAGATTAATTTTTTCTGGGGATAATTTTTTCAAGGTCTGATGTGTGTTATAGCTGAATTTAGAAGGTAGGTTTAATTTGAAGTGCTCCAACAAAGGACATGGCTCTTGGTTTCAATGCCACCCCACACCTGGGGGATCCTGCACACAGATATCTGAGTGAAGCCCTCAGCATCAGAAATATTTCTTATTCGTTCTGTTTTCATTGATTTAGGCAGCTCCCAAAGTCAATGGTCCAGGTATAACTAAGAAAAGGAATATAATCCTATGAGAAAGGAGCTGAACTGGGTGTTTAAAATACTATAGAAACTCTGGAGAGCTAAAAATATGAGAATCAATGGTGTGAAATTATGTCTATCAGTAATGTGTGTGTTTTGGTGATACCTGCTGAGTTCTAAGCAGCAGCTGTTTGGCAGCCCAGCATTTCTTCAAACAAAGGGTGATTTTCTGTTCTGTCAGGGTGAGAATTTGCTGCTGTTTCATTCTCAGGTGTCTCATTATGTAACAGTAACTGGAAAATGTAGAAGTGATGTGTAAAATCTGGGATAGCCATAGTCGAGGTGCTCTGAAATTTCCTTCATTTTGGGAGATAAATCCATCAGATTGGCATTGAGGAGATTCCTGAGGAAAGCTGAGCTCTTTTCTGTGCTGACCCATTCCTTTCTTTCTTTCTTCCAGACAAAGGGAGCAGCATTTCCGACACGAGCAGTGGGGCCGGTCTGTGGGAGAGATTGAAATAGAAAATGCTGGGAAAATTCAACTTTCCCTCCAAGGCATTCGGAGCCACTCCTATGGTAAGAGCCCTGGAAAGAATTCCCTGCCTTGGGAATGCCCTCAGTGTAGCTGGCACTGGCAGGGCAGTGAGATGGAGGATTAGCTGTTAAAATAACCAGGTCCATGCCTGGGCATGAAATAAAGACATTCCAGAGGAAATACCAGCACTGGTTTGGGGACATACATTGCTTACCATGTTATCAATGACTTGATATTTCTTTATCCAAAAAGAAATATATTTTTGGATATTTATTTATTATTTTTTATATATTCTTTATTGTGAAGTCAGGTACTGTTAGTTCACATTTCCCAGGAATGGTGAAACTCCAGCTTGAGGGATTTTGGGGGTTTTTTTTGCAGGTGTCCGGAACTGGGCTGAGATTCGCCGCTATGTGATGATTTTGGCACACTTTGAAGTAGGTATTAACATGGCAATGCAGGAAATTTTTCTGAGCTTTTCAGGCATGTTTAAGTATCCAAAAATAAGGATTTGGGAGCATCCATGGTGCACATCAAAAGTTCTCACTGGTGGCACCATTAGCCCAGATCAATGTTGAGAGCTTTTGCTCTTTCTCAAAAGCAGAACTGTGTGTGTAAAAACTGAGATTTTGTTACACTGATTAAAGCAAAACTTCTTTGATATATTGAAAATGTTTTGGCTTTTTCAAGAAAAATTAGGCAGGGAGCTTTACAGGAGAGATTCTCAGCTGCTGCAAGTACCCAGCACTCCCTGGAGCTGCTGCAGAGCTGATTCCCATTAATGGGAAGCCTGAGGTGTTTGAAGCATCCTAAGCCTTCATGACAGCAGTCAGCAAATATTTCTGCCTGTGCTGAGCCACAATTCTCTGCAGTGCTGCGTGGGGGAGAGGCAGAGCTGTGGCTGCTGGGAGCACACAGCCCAGGGACGTGCTGAGGGCAGCCCCTGCCAGCTGCCAGCCAAGCCCAGCAGATGCTCCTGAAAGGGCATTTCCTTTGCCAAGCCAGGCATAAATCAAAACTCTCTATTATAGGCAGCATTACAGGGGTTTAGACTGAATTCAGAACAAAAGTTCTTCTCCCAGCTTGGAAAATCCCACTTCTGTACAAATCCTGATTTATCACGTGCCTGTGTATCTTTTACTGGGACTGAGCTTTGGCACCACAGTGTGTATAACCAACCTCTCCCTGTTGTCCAGTTTTTCAAGGTTCAAAGTGGCTGCGGCTGTTCTGCCCCTAATTAAAAGGCAGCTGACTTCATTAAGAAGTTTATTGCAGCTTGAAGCTTGGAGCCCTCTTACCCTGAGTGTCTGTGCATTTATAGCATGAGAGGAGGCTTAGATTTGCCTCAGAGCAGCCCAAGTGGAGCATGAAGAGTCCAGACTTAAGGATGGAAGAGAAATTAGTAAATCCATGAGATTCCAGTTCCTTCTTAATATTTTCCCAATCTGCTGCTCCCAGACATAGATGAATAGGGGTTAGAAAAGTCTGGTCATAGTACACCAGTTTTGTTCTTCTTTGCAGGCTTTGTTTCCTTCCTGTGTCCTCTTGTTTTGGACTTTCTGTTGTTCCCATTGTCCTTAATTTGTCCTGGATGTGTTTGGTTTGTATTCATGGATTTGTTTGCAGCCAGATTTTCTACATGGGAGATGTAGTGAGAGGATTTTAAAGTATGGAGCCATAACACATTGCAAAGGCTGAGTTCTATCCTGTGTCTTCTTGGTCCAGCCAGTGAAGGACCCTCAGAAATGAATCTGCACAACTCTGGCTGCTTTTTCTTTATCTCTCTTGCAGGATGGGACTGCAGCACATTTAACAGTTATCAGCATGCCAGCCACCACAACTCAGTAAGTGACCAAGGAACTTTATGTTGCTAAAACCACTCATCTTAGAGCTGGCAAAAGCTGCTCTGCAGGACACCTTTGTGTGAATTCCTGCTTTGAACCTGTACAGCCCAATTTCCATCCACACCCTCATTTTTCATTTGCAGTTAGTCACAAGGACAGCTTTCACCTTCCCCTTGCTTCCTTTCCCTTCAGCTGCTGAGGGCTGATGGAGCTGTCTGTCTGTCTGTCTGGATGATTTAGAGGTACAAGCTGGGCACTCCCAGCTGTTTGAGAGGGCTCCAGCTGCAGTGGGGCATTCCACAGGAGCCCTGCCTTGCTCACTGCTGTTCTCTGCATCCAGAGGCTTAAAGATCAATGTCCATGGCCCCAAGGTTGCTCCAAGCCCCATCCAACCTGGCCTTGGACACTTCCAGAGATGGGGCAGCCACAGCTTCTCTGGGCACCCTGTGCCAGGGCTTCACCATCCTCACAGGGAAGAATTTCTTCCCAATATCCCATCTAACCCTGCCCTCTGGCAGTGGGAAGCATTCCCCTCATCCTGGCACTCCAGGCCCTTTTCCAAAGCCCCTCTCCAGCTCTGTTAGAAGTCCCAAGAGCCTTCTCTTCTCCAGGCACTAAAGTCCCAATTCTCTCTGCCATTTTTCTGGTGCATTTGAGTTTTGGCCTAACTTCAAACCTGCTGCATTCCTGTCCCCTTCAGCCTCACTGTAGGTTATGTGTTTTTTCCTGATGGGAGGAAGGCTGGCATTGAGTGGTCCAACGCCTCCCTGGCCGAGCTGGCTGAGGATGGGCTGATCCAGGAGGAGTATGGAGTCAGTTTTACTGCTGGTAAGCTCCACACAGTCCAGCTGCCTCTGCCTTCATTTCTTGGCCTTTAGTGGAGGAAAGACTGTTCAGTGATATTCCTGGGGAATGCACCATCTTACACCCTGAGAAATCTACTTAGAGCCATAAAATCTTGGTTTGGGTTGGAAGGGACTTGAAGATCCTCTGGTTCCAACCCCACTGCCATGGGCACTTCCCTGCTTAAATGAATTATAGTTGTGGTGTGTCCTGGGTGAAATGTGTCCACTGCAGGGTCAGGGCCACAGGATCCAGAGGGAGAGTTACAGATTCTGTTTGTGCTAGTCCACATAAAATGGGGATTTCCACATTTTTGGGGTGTCAGAACATCTCTTATGAGATGGATTCAGATGGAAATATAGTTGATTATTTTACTTGATTTACAAAGCAGACAGAATTATCACTCTTCAGAAAAGCATAAAAACCCCCATAGACCCCCAAAAACCCCAAAAGTAATAGATATTGGGATTGTTTTGAGATAAAATACTACTGAAAGTTAGTGACTTTGTTCCCTTTTCACTCTTCTCCAAGGTGGCAAGAGCTTTGATGTTTCTGCAGCTCTGGATAAGCAGGCCTGCCCCGTGGTGTACAATGGCCTGACAGGGAGAGGAGTTTTCCACGAGTGCATTGCAGATTTCCAACTCAATGGGCTAACACCAGGCTGGGGCCTGGTTGAATTTTATTACAGGTAAAATAATTACAGGCAAGAAAAGGTAAAAAATTATCATCCTCCTGTATTTACTTGTATGGTTACAACTCCATAGATATTTGAAGCATAAATGCACTGATTTTTTTACCTGATATAAAAAAATGTTGCTCATTTAGTGCTTAATCTCTTTATTAAGTTGACAAGCACTCATGTTATTTGAAAAGGAATAATTGCACAAGCACTTCATGGGTGCAGCATATAATTTGTTTGTTATATAGGTTTATGTGGGTTTTATATAGGTCTCCATGTGGGTTTATGAGTTGTAAGATGCTCCATTCTGGCCACTCTATTATTAATAGAAAATCTGTCTCATTATAGAAATATAGAGTCCCCACCCCAAACTGAGGCAGTTTACAGGGTGAAACTTGCTCACTCAAGGATTTATTTGGACAGATAAATGTTCAGAAAATCCCTACAGAAATGGCTCTGTTAGGGGCAAAATTATATCCTCAAAGAATGTGCTTCCCTTTTCAGGGAAGTGCTGTTCCTCCTGCCACGTGTTTGTCACTCTTTTCCTGGAGCCTTTCCCATATGGAGTCTTTGCTCTCATGAAAGAAAAAGGCAAATTTTGTTGCTTGCATTTTGTTTGCTTTTTAAAATAAACACCAATCCTTGGCTGCTGGAGGAAATGCCATAAATGACTTTCAGCAGATGGAGACCTCAGCTCCTTCCGAAAACCAGACATACTTAAAGCACATCAAACAGGCCAAAAGTGCAAAATACCTGCTGGTTGCACTTGAACCTGCAGCTGCTGCCAGGTCTGTGCTCCCTCCCCTTTTGGGCTGTCCAAACCTGCCTGGTGGAGGAAATGGCCCAGCAGGGAAAGCCTCGGATAAAACCCAAACCGGGCTCATTCCGCAAGCCCGGACAGCCCCAGGGAGCCTTCACTTGGCACTGCTGACACAATTCCTGTCAGCTCCACCTCATATCTGCTCCCAAATCAACCCCATGGGACAAATGAAAGGGTGAGGGTATTGTTCTTCCTCCTCTCCAAGAGACACCAACTCAGCATCGCTGCTCTTCCTGCAGGGACGAGGCCGCCCAGCCGGTTCCAAACCTGCAGCTTGGTTCCAGAACAGAGGGACCTGACCCTGCCACCGATGCCACTCCCTTGTGATCATCTACAGGCACACCCCAGCAGTGCTAGCAAGCAGCAGCTTTCCAAAGAAATGTAATTCCCTGCAAAAACCAGCACTGGTTTGAGTGTAGAGCTTGTCACAGGATGCTGAGGAGGTCAAGGGTATAAAAGGATTTGGAGAGAAATGAGATCTATTTTTATTAGTGCAGCTTTCAGTGGTTGCTAACCAGGGTGGTCTGGAGGCAATTTGAAGGAAGTCTGATTGCAGGAGGAATGCACTGGGAGGGATCATTCCATGCTCTGTCCTTTGGTGTTTTTCCTAAACTTCCAGCTGCTCCCCACCATGACGACCAGGACCTCAGGCTACGTGGATCACTGACCCAATTTAGCAGCTCCTCTCTTCTCTCAGATTTGTTTTTGAAATAAAAACTGTGTATTTCTGAACTCTCTGGTTCTTATAGTCATTAAAACATGGGAAAAACCTGTTACAGGATTTGATAGTTTTGTCTGTGGCTGTGTAAAACATGAAGTGGAAGGAGCAGGAGCAAGCACATCTAAGTGAGGTGTCCTCTAGGAATAGCATTAATGGACAATGAAATAAGTGGCACAGACATGATTTTCTCTTGTCTGAAGGAAAGCCAGGGTCTGGTAATCCAGTTTAGGAAAGGATCTGAATTCCTCATCATTCCCTTGTAGGTGATTAACCACAGAATCCACAATAGTCACTGGCCTGAGGTAGGTATTTCCTACCAAGATGCATCTTGCCATTAATTACTGAAAATTAAACATACTTAAAATATGTAAAAAAAAAAAAGTTAAGTGGAAAGTGTGGAGAGGAGAAATAAAGGAAAGATATCTTATAGTTAGAATAGTGCCACCATTCTATTTCAGAAAATAGTGAAATCTGGGTGCACATCTTTGTGTTTTTATAATCCCTGCTTAGGCTGACAGAGGAAGAGATTTTAACAGAATTTAAAGAAGAATTTTTCCTTTCTGAGGCAGTTCCTACACTTACTGCTGCAACAACTTTTTCTGCCGAATGGGTGCATGAATATAAAATGATTCCACCAGCATTTATGACATGCATGTCCCAATTTGGGATGTGTCACTGAACAAGGCTGGGGTGCTGCAAGCCTGATGTGCCGTGACAGGCTGGTTTTATCAGCACCCTCCTGCAGCTGTGAGAAATCCGCATTCCCTAATTAATTCCCTAATTAATAACCTGATCCCTGTTCTGCACTTGTACCCTTGAGCTGCACCCCAACAGGTGCAGGTGCTGTGCCCCCTCCTTTCATCCCAAAGCACCCCTGGATGAGCCAAGCTGAATTTTGGGTGCTTTTCTTTTGGGGTTGGCACTGATTCAGAGCTTTGGGTTGTAGCTGCACCTCCATAAACCCTTCTCCAGTTACAGTGGTATTAATGGCCACATTCCTGTGAGCCTTGCACAAACTCAAAGATGTCTTAAATCTGTCTGTGCTCTCGTGGTCTCGAGGTGCTGAAACAGGGAGCTTCTAAATTTCTCCAGACAATGGTACTCTGACAGGAGGGAAGGCCTTATGCCTCTTTTTACACCTCAGAAATCAGTCAAATAGGTAATTTTAGAAAGGTTAGGAAAATAATGATGTTATGCATCACAGTTTGTTCCTATTAAGTGTGTGGCTTGTTTTGCTATGATCTCAGGAACATCTGTTCCTTTTTTTCTGTGAAGTTCTTGTCATCTCTTTCCCTTTCACTTATTTCTTCAAGGCTAAAATGTTAACATTTAGAAGGTGAAAGACAGGCACATAATAAAGCAAGGTTTTGGAGGTGTCAGAGCATGTAGATTATGAGAAAAATTGTTAATTATGACTCTGGAACCACAGTTTGAGAAATCACTATAAAAATAATTCCCTGTCCAGGCAAAAAATTAAAAAAAAAATCCCATCAAGGAAGGGATTGGTCTGGCTATTTCCTAAATTCCAGAAACTGGGCTTAGAAGTAGGGATGCTGTGGGGAAATGTGTCTTCCCAGATTACTGGAAATTCATGTTCCTGCAGTGGAGGAGGCAGAGATGAAGCCTTCATCACTCTCCTTTTGTCCTCTTCTTGTTTCGTTTGGTACCAGTGGGGGGAGAATTAGAGCACTCCTGAGTTCAGTTGGGAAAAGTTCAAGCAGGGTACAGCAAAATGATTAATAAAGTTTGGAGCTGGCAGGTTTATTTGCCAGGTGATGAACTACTGGTAGGGTATTTCAGCTCCAAGGACTTGAAATAATTGACTGTGGGGGTTTTCTCCCTGGATTTCAAATTACTTTAGAGCAAGCCTGTGTCCAGGACAGATGGAATAACTTATTTAATTTAAAATAAATCTCCCAAGCCCCACGCTTTGACCATATGAAGTGGTCCTTCACTTTGTGGCTCCTTTCTCAGTGGAAAAATCCATCTTGGGAAGTGCTTCTGCAGCCCAAAAGCATTAATTTTGAGCCAAAAAAGCAATAAATGGAGGTGAGCCTTGGCCAGGAGTGAAATGCAGCATGTGATGTGCATGAAGGGGGGGCAGCTGGAGCCTGCTTGGGATGAGCTGCTTCCCCAGCATCTGGAGGAGGGAGCACCTGTAATTCCTGCTGCTGTCACGGCAAAATGCTCCCAAAAAACCCCTGAACCTCCCCCTGGAGCTCCTTGCACGTTGAATTTCAGGATTCAGGCCTTGTAAAGAGGTCATTTAAAGGCTGTCAGCCCCAAACTGAGCATTTCCCATCAATCTGCTCCTGGCTACTGATGTCTCGAATGGTAAATATTTTACCGTGTTTATTTATTCTTCTTCCTTCTTGCAATTTTTCATGTGTTCTTAGCTATAAAGGGCATTTTCAGTGACATTGTATTTCACCGGCAGGAAGAAAGGAAGGAAAAAAAGTCTTTTTTTTCTGTTTGGATTTATGTTGTAGCTTTACAGTTGGTGAAGCAAAGTGTAGCCCAGGGAGCTCTGTAATTTATCAACAGAAATGCACTGTATGGCCAAATTATCTCTGCAAAGCAACTGATTATTTCCAAAGTGGACTTTTCCCTCCAGAAGAACGTGCTCAGCAGCCAAATAACTCAGAGACATTCCAGGCAGAGTGACTGATAACTGCTCACTCCCTTCTCCCATTTGCTGGAACCCCAACTCCCTCACATCTGCCATAAAAACCCACATAGCTCTTTCCATCCCAAACTGCTCTTCCCTAAAATCTGACTGTTTTTTATTGTTGCTCTCCCAACAGCCTCTGAGCTCAGGTGTCTAAGCAAAGTCTCCAAAGGGATCTGTCCTGGGGGGCTTTTTGGGTTCCCCCCATTTTGAGGTATTTTCCTCCCCTCGTTAAAGCTGTAATTAGTTACCGCATCGATTTTTGCTTTTCTTCAGCATAAAAAAAACTTTTATTAAACCATAGTGCAAGTGAAGTTCATTCTAATCTGGCCATAAAATTTTACGAGAGGTGTAAATCAAAGGGAGGAGTGGCAGCAAATTCTCTGGAACAGTTGGGCCCTGTTCAGGCTCCCTCAGTGGAGTTAAATCCCTGCAGGAGCAATTAGCCTAACGAGCTGCTCTTATAAATAACGTCACTGATGGAGACATCTGGAGGTGCCTGCTCTGTGCAGAGAGACTTTCCAAATGTGCTGAGTGGTGAATGAGCTTTTTTTTTTTTTTTCTGGAGATGCAGATCTGACATGTCCCAGCATGTCAAGTTTTTGTCCCTTTTTCCAAAAAAGATAAAGAAGGGAAAGTAGGAGTGACATCTTCAGCCAGAATGTCCTCTTGCATTTCTTGGTGGCTGAGCGTGGGACAGCGTGTCTGAAGTGCTGACCCCGAATGCTTTGGTCAGAGAAGGGCAGAAATGCCCATGGGCACAATAAACCTGGAGAGGGTTCATGGCTGAAGTCTTTGTCACAGCCCTTGGGACATCAGAGACTGGCAAGGCACTTCTGGCTGCTGCAGGGGTCAGAAATGGATTTTCAGAAGGAAATCCAGATGATGGCTCTCAGTTTTTCCTTCTACCACAAATTATGCACACTTGATACCTTTTGAACATCATTTTTTAACCTTCAAACCTCCCTTCTGGATTTAGCACAGGAAATCCCACTCTTTGTTGCTTTTGTCACTCCTAAATGCCCTTTGAGAGAGGGCTGGGTAAGTGGTTGATAAAGAATGAAAAAATTAATTATAAAAATCAGGTTTAAGACTATTTAATAGTGTTTTGCAGAGGTGAGGAGTGGGAAAAGCTGTGAGGTCACACAATGGGTTGTCTTTACTAAAGCATCCAGATCCCAGTGTTTCCTTCCCCACTCTTGTTCCTGCTGTTATTCTAAGGCACGTAGGCTTCTCCCACATGTTTATAAGCTGATAAAACCGTAATGCCAGGAATGTTTTCCTTCCTCTATTGTGTTAACAAAATAAGTGACTTTGCAGATATAGCCTTGTTTACCTGACTTTCTACACCAAAACAGTCGTTGTGAATAAATGTCATAATTCATGGAGAGGTGAGGAAAGAAGAGTTTCTTTTCTAAATGCTGATGCAAGAGCTGTGCATCTCCTTGTGGATGAGGAATGTTCTGCTCTGCTGGGCTGGCAGCCCTCAGTGGTGACAGCAGGGCTGACAACATGCTCAGCCCAAATATCTGAGAATAAATCCCGGCAGACGCTGCTGAGCAATCCATAATTGGACGTGTCAGGCAGCTTCTGAGGACACGGGCTGGGCTCCCAGCAGGGCAGAGCAGCCCCACAGAATGCTTTTCATGGTGCAGGAGGAGGATTTGAACTGATCCCCTTCAGAGATTTTCCCAAAGCCATAAATATGCTCTGCAGTGCTCTTGGAGGGGTTGAGGGCTGTGTGGGGCTCTCAGAACAAACCCCAGCACAGGGAGCTCAGGGGATGGGGAAGAGCCCTGAGCCATCACAGCCAATTACACTGAACTCCCCAAATACATCAAGCATTTCGTCAAGGCAGATCAAAGGGCCTTTCATGGGAAGGAAGAGCTGTGATCTGCCTTTTACCCACGGGAAAGCTCTGGGGAAGAGGCTGTCTGGCCAATTCTATGGCAGCATTCTTTAGCTGTTAACCCCAGAGTTTGCTCTCTGCTCCTCACAGCCCCTCCTGGGCCCTGCCCAGACCTACAGCAGCATTTCAGCTTTTTGGGATGGGAAACAGAGCAGGCAAGGTGAAAAAAGGGGGGAAAGTCTGCAAAAAAACCCCCAAATATGGTCAAACCTGTAAATGAAACCTGGCAGAACCCGCTGTAGATGCTCCTTGTAACACCCCCAGCAAAATGGTTAAAACTGACTGCAAAAAAATGATGTTGGATGTGTTGGGCTCTGAGGAATCTTCAGTTTTTATGCACATTATGAATGTGTCATGATGATAATGCCAAGGTTTTCCCTGCC